AGGTCAAAAGGAAAACTCATCATAGAACGTATGCTTATCCCAGACATGCAGTATCTGAATGAAAGTGACAAAACCTCATGGCAAAATGTCCATCAAAGGTGAGATCTAGCCCTGCCTCTCACTTCCTCCCCTCCCTGCTCACACTGTCACAGCAGGATCATGCACCATGTTGGAAGTCCCAAGCGTGAGCATCACAGTCACCCAGTGAGGGCTCTCTTGTGGTGCTAGCAGCCAGTTCCAGCACCAAGCACACTCCCTCTAGGCTCAGGCCTGGGAACAGAAGAACAAGAGAACCCTGGCAGAGCACCAGGGTGACAAACAAGGAGGAAAGAGGGGAAAAAACAGCTCTCAGGGCTGACCAGGGCTTTGCAGCCAACACCAATGTAAATTGTGCTTGGGGCAGATGGCAGTTCTTGCTCCAGCTGTAAACGCCCGGGAACAAGGACTGCTTTTTTGCCCTTTTGCAAAGTGTTTAACACAGGCACACATGGAGCCTCGGCCAGATGGAGGGGCACGAGACAGCGGCAGGCAGGAGAGACAGCCTGTCATACAGCAGCCCTGCTGATGTTTGGGGATGAACAGCAACACGAGCTACAAGGTGGTCTTTCTTTCCACCTTCCAGTTAGCCCGCTGGATCGTGTTAGCCGCCTGCTTCTTATCAGACTTTACAGTTCCCCCTCACCACTGCTCAATTCCATCATGCCGTCACTTAACTTGTGCATGTAATTTAAAGCCAGATAGACAGCAGGGAAATTGCTTCCTCTGAGGCCCCTACTAATTGACCCCTATCCACAGAGCTCAGCAGTCTTCCCTTAACAGCGCTTGCACGCGCTACCGCAACACGAAGTGCAGGTTTGGAGGTTGCCAGCGCAGCCTCTCTCCCCCGTGGCAATGCCATATGGTGTTAAGACTTTCAGGATCAGACGCTGTTCCTGCTGAAATCAATCATCACAACCTATCCCTGGAGAAGGCCATCTCAAAATCCCATTGGCTTGAAGCGCCGCTCAGCCAAGTGTCTTGGATTTGGAGGCTGGTATTGACTCAGTCGGGTTGGTATGCAAACGCTCACTTTAATAGCGCACATATCAATTAGCTGGGATGCTACAAAGGGAGCGAGTGGTGCCCGCTACGATGACAGCATGCCTAAACAGCTGATATTTCACATTTGGCAGGAGCCTTCAGCCCCTGCCAACGCAAGTCAGCCTCTCTGCCTGAACTCGCTGTCACACTAATGAAAATGAGCACTGGGGCAACTGAGATTCACACACTGAATGGGGTTTGCTTAAAAGAGAGAAGGATGTGAACTACCACCAGGCACCTAATCTTCATAACCTGCAGCAGAAGTTACAGACATGTGCACCAATCAGAGGAAAATAAGTAGTCTCTATGGGTAAATAAAGATTATGTCTCTTTAAACCCATTGTAAATCTGAATGAACACAGAATATACATACACAAGTAGGCAGTGTGCAATGTGACGTCAATCTGATTTTTATAGATTTATTATTGCCGTACATAAAATTTCCTAGTAATAATAACATTCTATGAAAAATACTAGAGCATTGGGACACTTTTAATGTGAAAACAGTACAAGAAAAGTAGGAAAAAATAATTCAAGTGTTTTTAAAAAAAATGCTGGGCGAGAAGCATTCCATGAAAAATGCAAGGGTCAGGAACTGGAAAGCATTCACGTGATCTGTCTTCACTTCCACATACTATCTTTGAGAGTTATATTCTATGCCTTCATTGCACCAGTAGAAGAGATTTAAAGGAAAAAGAGAGAAATGGTTTCTGTGGGGTCAGCCAGTTCACAGTTTATTGGTATTTTTCTAATTTTTCATTTGTTTTTAAACATGGTTCCACCCCCTGCTATAAATCAACCCTGCACTTTGCAGCCACTGTTGAGCACAATTCACGAATCACCTAGTGTGTAGTGGAAGGTGAGCCCCTCAATCCTTGATGCATGCCCATGGCTGTGTACCAACCGAGGCGCCAGGGGACCATCCACGTAGAGTGATGGATTCCCCGGGAGCACAGGCCAAGAGTCCCTCCAGGCACTCACTCTGCAGGGAGGCTGCCCTTGCCCAGCCCACACCAACACCACTGCTGCAGGGCCCTCATGGAGGCCCTGTCACGCTCCGACACCCTTCCAGCTGGTGGCCACACAGCCACTGCTGCTGCACCTGTGCTGTAGGCAGCCCTTCTGTCACTTTATTAATTTTAATTATTTATAAAGAAGAAAGAAAGCATAAGGAAAACACCATGTAAATAAGTTATTCTTCCTCTCCTACTGACAAACCACACCTCTGTAAAGAAATTAGCCACATCCTGTGACAAAACTTTGTGATAGGCCATGACCTGCAGAGAAGTGATGCCTTACTGACATCTCCACAGCTGGAAAGAGAAACCTGTTTCATTTGAGTCACAGTACAGCAGCAGAGGAGCTTTTGTGTTTACGTATCTGACGGAGCACAAACAGGAGACAGTAAGTGAGGGAAAGAGAGAATGAAGAAAAGAAGTGAAGGCAGGTGGTTATGAGAGCACACAAGTGGCTAATTAAACCATGGGTTTTACTAGTCACAGTGGTTAAACAATTTTAACGGGAGGCATTCTCATAGCACGCCTGAAAAGTTTTTAACACTACCAAACACCTTTGTCAGGAGCAAGGAACTTCTGGAAAAGTGCTCAGAGATGCACACAAACCCATAGGAAGATCTGATAATGTACAAATGTGTTTCTTCCAGAGATAGCTCACTTTCTGCACAAATCGATAAACCATCAGAACCTATCATTTATCACAAACATTAAATCCCAGCAGCACCCTGGTTTGCAAGCCTAATGAGGGAACTCGGAACACAAAGGCACTCTCAGTGCTGGGTAGTGTGGGGGGAATTCTCCATGCCTATGGTTCAGGGAGTCTCTTTTAGGCTATACTCAGCATTAAGAGACCAGGTGTTAACTATCCTTTTTGCAAACTTGCTACAAAACCAAAGGCATATTATTGAGAAAAACAAGAGCTGAAAACCCAGTCTAGTTTCTATCCCTGGGAAGCCCATCCTGGTTTTTGTGTTAGCAATGCTGGGTCACCATTCACAAAAAAAAATAGCTAAAAGGATGCAGAGCTATGAATTAAACTTTCAGTTTAATTAAAAACAGTAATTCCACTGTCAAGCTAGAGGATAGGCAGAAATGGCTAAACAAACGTGTTATGCTTTTGAAGAATAAATATTTGTGGATTGTAAAATATTATAACTTAATAAAAACCAAACCCCAACTTGAATATTTAAATCTTTAATTGCATATAGACACACATAATGATTTATGAATGCATATTGGTCCAAAATCTGACTCTTAAGGAGAGCACCAAAGGACCATGATGCCATTGCTGGTGTATAGGAAATTTGTGAGGAAGGACAGTTTCACGATTCCTAGTCAGGGGAGAAGAGAACTCTTAGAAAGTCCCTCAGCCTGACAAGCCCTGCAGACCAATATTAACTCTTTTAGTTATTAACTAAATTATTAACTCTCAATTAGTTCACTCTTGCAAGAAGGAATTAGTTGTTTTGATGAGGCTGGTTAGGAAAGAGTTAATACTATCAGCCAAATGTCAGTGAACCCCTAAATATTGCTTTTGTCCCATGGCAGTGTCAATACCAACACTATTATCTCAATTTATTTAACACAGAACAAATTAATTGGCTCTAAGTGTTGCTTTTTCCCTGGAATCCCTCATCCCATCTCTTCTTGGAGAGAGCTCCTGCGAGCAATGAGCAAGGGAATAAACCGCTATGCAAACACACACAGGCACACACACACATACACAGAGAGGGAAGTTACAATTTCTCACTTAGTTGCTGATTTCTGTGACTACAAATCTTGGTGTCACCCGCCACACACTACTCCTCTGTACTAAATCCATCATCCTCGACACCTTCAGATGCATCCGAGATGTGTGTCGAACTAGCAACACTGTAATTTTTATAATGACAAGGAATTAAGTATGATTACTAGTCTTTCCTCTCACTTGTTCCCTTCCCCTAATGATACCATCCAATTGCCATTTTCCTCACGGTGTTGTATTTTGGTTCCCATTGTCTGTCGTACCCAATACAATAACCGAAATGTCTGCAACACGGGATCTGCCTGTCTCTCGTACGTCTAGCAAATCTGAAAACCTGTTGTTACAGTTTTGGGGAACACAATACATTGTCACTTCCGAGGAAACGTTGTAAAAATAACCGTACATACAGTTCAGCCAGAAATCAGTTCAGTCATACCTGTGCTATTCTTCCATTGTGTTTAATACACCACGAGCAGGTTATTTCATAAAAGACATTGCCATAAAAGACATCACTTGGGTGCTTTCTCCTACTACTGGGCTCCGTGGCCCGTCGTCTGTCTGGGACACATTGCTACCAGCCAGCCTGGAGAAGAACTTGCCATTGCTTTCCCTGAACTTCTGATAGTGAAAACCTGGTGTTCAGCTAAAACTTTCCCTTTCCCACCTCCCCGCTCCTACAAACCGCCCCGAATCGTCATGATTGCCATTAATTAAAAAACGAAAGAAAAAAAAAAGGGAGAGAGAAAAATTTGAAAAAAAAATACGAGGAAAAACAAAAAGGAACTAGAGAGCCAGCAGTCTTATGGGAACAGCACGGCAGGTAAACCAGGTTAGCATCGTTCCGTAACGGCCACGAGCTGGCGGGGCAGGGCCGGCGCCCCCCGGCCGTCCCTCCTCGGCCCGGGGCCGGGGGCCAGCGGCCGGCTCGGCGGGCGCCGCGGGAGGCGGCGTTTCTCTTCCCTGCGGGGCGGAGAGGGGCGGGCGGCGGGGCCGCGCCGCGGGGAGCCGCGCCCGCGGCGGGGGCTCCCTCAGAGCCTGAAGGAGGCCTCGGAGAAGGGATGCTGCATCTTGAAGCTAGACAAGAAGCACTGGAGGGGCGGGGGCAGGGGGTTGAGGAGGGACGGCGGGAGGCTGGGGAAAAAGAAATCATCTCCTCTGACCTCTAACGAAGTGCCCGGTTTTTTCTTAAGCTCTTCACATTTCCTAAATTTGCAGATCTGGTGTCCCGTTTTGCGGTTCCTGCAACTGCTGCAGACTCCACAGTTGATGAGCCGCTTGCAGGGCACGCACACCCCGCAGCGTTTCCGCTTCTTCTTGGCGGGGTTGCCCGCCCCGGCCCCGGCCCCGGCGCCGGTGCCGCCGGCCCCCCCTCCGCCTCCGCCGCCACCGCCGCCGCCTCCGCCGCCTCCCGCGCCGGCGGCGGCGCCCAGGGCGGAGGCGGGCGAGGCCGAGGCGTGGCTCTGCGGGCAGTCCGCCAGGTTGGCGATCTGGAAGGCGCTGTCTGTGACGGCGGCCGAGGCCGCGGCGGGGGAGTGCAGGGCCGTCATGACGATGACCCCGGGGGGAAGGGAGAGGCCGCCCAGCGCCGGGATGGCCGAGAAGGTGCCGACGCGGTCGGGGAGGTTCATGATCTCGGCTTCGGCGGCGCCGCACTTGAGCTTGTTCATGCACTCGCCGGCCAGCGGCCGGCAGTGCTCGGGGGCGAGGGTGGAGAGGAAGTTGCCGTTGGCCATGGGCAGGGCGGGCTGCTCGGCCGGCGGGCAGCCGGGCTTGCCCAGCCGCTGCGAGTCGCTCCGGTGGTGCATGCCGCCCCTGCCGGCGTGCAGCGAGGAGGCGGCGGCGGCGGCCGCGGAGGCGGCGGCGGCGGCGGCGGAGGAGGAGGAGGAGGAGGGTTTCCTCGCGCCGCCCGCCGCGCCGCCGCCGCCGCCGCTGCCCCAGAGCATGGCGGTGGCGGCGGCGGCCGTGGCGGTGTCGCAGTTCCAGGGGGACATGCCGATGCGGGCGGCGGCGGCGGCGGCCGCGCTGGGGAAGATGGGGGTGGTGATGCGGGCGATCTTGGCCGCCTGGGGGAAGGCGCCGCCGTTGGTCTTGTAGAAGGTGGCGAAGGAGCGGTACCTCTCCATCTCCGAGTTGTAATCCACAAGGCTGTTGAGGGCCCCCTCGGGCAGGTGGCTGTCCTTGGGCAGCCCCGGCGCCTCGGGGTTGGGGCCGCTCTCCACGCACACGTTGGTGTTCATGGTGGCCGGGGCGGGGGGGGGGGGGCGGCGGGAAGGGACGGGACGGGGGGAACTGGGGGCCGGGGGGAGAGGGACGGGGCGGGGGGGGGGTCGCTTAATCCTCCTCCTCCTCCGGACGCATCCCCGCGGTCGGTGCTCGGCCGGGCAGCCGCTCCTCCGACATCCTCACGGGAGCTGCCGCAGCTGAAACACAAAAAGTCATTTCCGAGGGGGTGCGCGCGCGGGGGGCGCTGACGGCCGCCCACGGCCACCCCGGGAGGGGGGAGCACACCCGGGTGGGGGACACACGTCTCGCCGTAGCCGCGGGCACAGCGCTCGCAGCGCCCGCCCGGGTGGAGCAAACCCGGTCCCGGGACAAGCTGGGGGGCGGGGGACACGACACAGGGGCAGGGAGCTGCCCACCTACCAGCACCGGGAAAAATGAAAAGGGAGGGAGGAAGAGCGGGGGGAGAAATAAATAAAAGGAATTAGAAAAAAAGGAAAAAAGAGGGAGGTGGGGGAGGGAGCCGCCAGCTGCCACGGTGTCCTTCTGAGCCCGGCGGTCATTAGCTGCCTGCCGGCACAGCTGGCTCCGCCGGCGCTGGTTGCGGCGGCACCGGCTTCCCCGACCCCCTCCGCCACCTCCGGCTACGGGGGGGCTGCCTGCAGGCCGCGGGGGGCACGGGGCTAGGTTTAAAAAAAAAAATACTTAAGCAATTTCACAGCTTGTGATCCCGGCGCCTGCAGCTGTACTAACGACGGAGTATTTATCCCAGCCTCTCGGGGAGGATTCCCCGTCACCGCCGCCGGGGGCTGCGCGGGGAGGGCTGGGGACACACACACACACACACACCGAGACGGGGACAGCCCCTCCGTGGGCGCCGCGGGGCAGGGGGCTTCGCCGAGAGACAGCCCGGGAGCGCTCGGGAGGGCACGTCCTGTACCTGCTGAACTAGCCCTCATCGGGGAAAGATGGCTTTCTGCTCCAGCCTGGGAAAGTTTAGGAGGGGGCTGAGGACGCGGCGTCCGTTTTGTTTCCTACCGCCCCCTTTCTCCCCCAGGGAGGTGAAGGGGGGTATTTTAGTTCATGGCAATGAAGAAGGTAAATTATGGCACCCTGAGCGAAGTGAAGCAAAACATAAGCATAACTTAAAAAGCCCTCAGTTTATGAACACTGCCTCTTTGTTTTCCAGATGCTCTACCTGAATAGTTCAGATATTTCCAGCATCTTTTCTGATGCAGGGCTATCAGAAACGCTCACTCGTGAGGCACTCGTGGGGCTACGTCTAGTTTCCAGACTCTGGTATGTTTAGTTCAAAATGGTTATCAATTACGTTAATTACGATCATAATTAGATTAATGAACCGTTTGCAGCCCAACCTACCGAGTGCAAAAACTTCGTCTTCTCCCAACGTCGTGCACTGAAAGCGGGCTTTATGTAAACAAATCCAGATGAAGGGAGCGTAAATCTACAGAAGGAGCCTCACCCCCGGCTGCACTGGGGACTGGCGGCCGTCCTTCCGTCGGAAAAAAAAAAAAAAAAAAGAAAAAAAGAAAAAAAAGAAAAAAGAAAAAAACCCCGACCCCAAGCTCGCAGGAGCCACCTCTGTGTTTCCACGTCAGGGAAAAACCCGGACTCTCGCTGCCTTCAGAGGTCTAGTGGCAATACAAAGGCTGCCCCGGAAAGCTCTAGGCTAAGCGTCGTCTTGTGGAGGGATGCGAAGGATTTGCTTACAGCAAAAAAAAAAAAAAAAAAACAAACCTCTCCCGTTTCCAGAAAGGAAAACCTAGCTGCATGTCCTCGATAACAACTACTCAATAAAACTAGTTTTGCCAGCCATGTGTACGAAAGCCACGCATCTGGTAAGGAATAAAATGTTAGCGTTCAGCCCTTTATGCCAGAAGTCATACGCATTTTCTTGCCCTATTTCCCCCAGCATTAAACTGGTTTCTCTCCACAAAACCTTCCCTCGCTGGCTACCTTTTCTCTCCCCGCGATCCCCTCTCAGGCTTTATTGCCACCAGCAGCGAGAAAATGATGGTGCCCACCAACCGGGTCATTATTGTTTAATCGATGCATCTCCGGAGCATGAAAAGGGTACCCGAGACGCAGTTATTGATTTCCCTCCCCCTCTAACTATCGCCCTCTTTTCCACGAATGAAATAAATAAATAGAAATTGCTAGCCGGGCTTTGCGACTCTGTCCCTGCTTAAGCTAAATGTGACCGTACATGTTCAATATTGCATGTCTGCTCTGCCAAAGACAGAGATCAAAGGTCATATTTAAGATTCAGGAGGAGGGGCGGGTGCAGATTAATTAATAAATTAATACAGCGACGCCTTTTATTGCCGAAGTCTAACATTAATCTACTTTTACGATCCCAGATAACAAGAACAACAGAAAAAAAAAGGGCATCCGACAAACCCACAAAATTAAAAAAAAAAAACAACCCATCCCTCTAAAAAAACCCCACAACTAAAATCCGAAAACACACACACACACAAAAAACCAAAAAAAAAACAAAAGAAAAAAACCCCGCGAAGAATAAGGGGGAAAAAGATGAGGGGGGAAAGCAAACCAGTCACTTACCAGGCTCTTTATTTGGGGGGGCTTGAGTGTGCAGACGCTACCAGCCTGTCTGCCTTTAATTAGTTGCACATCAGTCCCTAACACAAAGAAGAAGAAGAAGAAGAAAAATATCCAGATGTGCCTTGGCAGCTCCTCAATTACAACTTTGATACTTGTAAACAAACTGCGAGGGGCGGTGGGGAAGGTGGGGGGGGGGGGGGCGGGGGGGATAAATTAAGCCGCCGATCCACTAAACAAATACCTGTAAGTGGCTTTTTTCCCCCCTCTCTCTCTTTCTAGCTCGTTGCAGAGAAAGGAGGAGGAGGGGGGAGCAGGGGAGGCGGCGGGGGGCGAGGAAGGAGCAGGCACAGAGGGAGGGCGGGCGGGAGTGTGTGTGTGCGTGTGTGTGTGTGTGCGTGTGCGCGGTGGTCTCTGCCGGCGCGCTGCTCGCCGCCCGTCTCCCGGCGCCCGCCCTCGCACACAGCGCCGGGAGTGCGTGCGCGTGTGGCGGTGCGGGGGAGGGGAGGGCGGGGGCGGGCGGGAGGCGATCGCCGCCGAGGTGAGGGAGCGCGCCGGGAGGACGCAGGGATGCGGACACCCTCCGCTGCCGCCGGGCGCTGGCGGGGCGGCCGCCGAGCGGCGCGCACGGGCCGCGGCGCAGCGCGGGGCCGCCCCCGCCGCCGCCCCCTGCGCTCCCCTCCCGCGGCGGGGGCGCTGCGGCCGCGGCCGCCCGGTGCGGGGCTGCCGGCGGGGCGGGGCCGCGCCGCGCCGCAGAGCGGAGGGGAGGGGGCGGCGGGAGGGCGCGCCCCCCGCGCTGCGCCCTGTCACCCTCCCCGCGGGCGGGCGCGGAACTGCCGGCAAACTTTGTGCCCCGGGAAGTTTGCGGAGGGGAGCGGCGGTGCCCCCGCCCGGGCCGGCCCCTGGAGCGGCAGGCCGGTGCCCCGGTCAGCGCACGGCCACGCTGCGTGTCATTTTTCACCCGAGTTCGCAGATCTCTAATGACTACCAATCCCCGACGCTATGATTTTATTTCAGACGCGTGAGGTGCTGCAGATTTCAGGCACATTCAGGCGAAATAGAGCCAGCTGAACAGTGGATGCTACACAAGTGTCTCGGCACTGACTAGAAGTTCTTTGCCAACATTTGCCCTTGGCAGGTGCCAGAGCCCAAGAGGTGCATGGCACCTGTCCGGGCACCTGTCTGGGCAGGCCACACGAACCCCACACCTGAACTGCCAACATTAAAACACATTTCTTAACAAGCTGCTGACATACAGGTACTGCATGCAAACACACTACAGTTCCTTAAAGAATTTCAGCAAACTATTAAAAAAACCCCAGCCAAGCCCACCTGCCTTCCCCGGAGTTCTTGCAAGCACAAAAAAGGCCTATATTCACTGAATAAATTATGCATCACAAGTTCTTCATCCAGCCCCTCTTGTATCTCCAGAGTGAGCGCTGGTACTTACAGAACCATTGCTGCAGCCTGATGCTGCCAGCGTGGGCACCAAGCAGTTAAGAAATGGATGTTTCTGCCAAGAAAATAATTTTAACCGTTTGTAAATTACAGAAAAAGAAGGGAAAATTGCACTGTTTCATTGGTTTTATATGTAAGTAAATGAAGGATTTATGTGCAGACTGAAGTTTTATTTCCCTCTGCTCCAAGCTGAATTGAAGCTCGGGGTACTCAACTCTACAGCATTACCCAAGGGAGAGCACTGCAGGAACCTCTTCTCAGGAGCAGCAAGACAAGGTGGATTTGAGCAGCAGGGTTTGGCAGGAACCAGCAGCCTCGTGGCCAATGCTCCATGAAGCAAGACTGACTGGTACAGATGAGGGACAGTTTTGGTCAATCAGGTAGGTTGCAGATCTGTAAGAAGTCATGCCCCTGGCATTTATGTTATGGATTTGTACGCTTCATTTGGAAGCAGTATAGTTTATCTAGATAATTAGCTGCTTCTAACCATACGATATGCATTTTAAAATACCCCCGAACATGGATTTACATAATAAAGCATAACCTCCCAACAAGCTAGCATCATCCTTTATGACAGTTCTGCTGCCTTTTTCAAAGTCTTTCTCTGTTTTGATACATTTTAACACAAACTTATGGGGCGGGGGGGGGGGAAATACAAATGAGGGGAAACGGTGTTTCAGTAATGTCACAAAGTGACAAAAAACAAGAGCTTTTCCTGTTGAGGTTCATTCCCTACCACTCTTCTCCCAAATTAGTTGTCAAAAGCCATATGCGATACTCCAAACACTGAGGACGTTTTTCAAACACAGACTTCTCCTGAACTCCAAACTTCCTTTAATCACAACCTGTGTCTCACTTAAGTAATCCTTTCCGAGTTAATTTATTACTCTTGAAGGAGTTACATTTTTAATAAGCTAAAAGAGGAAAGGGGGAAAACTCTGATAATCTTTTCTCATGCATAAGGAAGACCATTTCA